CAAATATTTCAAGGCGTTTGTTGAAGATTTGTTTGAATATATTCTTTTATTTCATTCATGACGCATACATCAACATATTCAGTGTGATATTCATGAGTTAACTCAATTGTAATTTGAAATTTTTGTAGATCAATAGTGAGTGTTAACCAACTCCTGCAATGGAACTGTTGTATCAGTAAGCAATCTCTGTGCTTTGTGGGATCTTCGTGTTTTTTAGATTTTTTTTGCCAGTCGAGCAATTGGGTACAATAATATCTAAAGATTACAAGATGATCTGATTTCCGTGGAGAGCTGTCTTTATAACTTTATAAAAGTTAGTTTTTACTTGTATAATTTAAAAGTCTGCACTCTTTATACTAAACAAATAGTTCTTATAACTAATCATATTTTATTTATATTATTCTTACTTGAATTTAAAATTTATAGCCGTAAGGATATTATCTGAAATATATGATACTACTTCCTTTGGATCAATTGGAGCCGTATATCTACTAATGTCAACAATTTGCTTAAGATCTTCTATGGTTTGACCTTTCATGGCTTTCAAAATTCTGAAAAAATCTTGCATCGTAATGCAATTGATGCTTGCATTTGCTAATGCATTTACAGCTACGCGTTTTTGTGCATTTTGTCTATTTTTTTTATCTCTACAGGATAAGTATGTTTTTTGAATTTTGCCATTTTTCAAAAAGGACTCAATTGGGCGAGGTTGACTACATCCTGTACAAGTATTATCAATGCCAGATTGGAGATCTATTTGTTACAAAAAAAATTTATATAGATTTGATGATTTAAGAATTATGGTGATCGATTATATAGATTTGATGATTTATTAACGAAGAGAAGAATTATAGTGATCGATTATACAAAGATTATTCTGGAGTTTCTTGAAAGTCCAAACTTCAGTGCTTATATACATTTCAACCTTTAATTAACGTGGTGTTGAAATTAAAATTCGATAGTGTCTAGTTTAATAATGTAACGAATGCAAGCTAAGTTAATAATATTTCAAAGGCTCTGAAACCTGATTACTGTCATTTTTACCTATATGTTTGTTCTTTTATTTATTAGAATCAATTGATGAAGTTATTTTGATAATTTCTAGTTTAATAATGTAACGAATGCAAATACTTCAAAGACGCTGAATCCTGATTACTGCCATTTTATTTACATATTTATTCTTTTATTTATTAAATTGACAAAATTATTATTTGATAATTTTTAGTTTAATAACATAACGAATGCAAGCTAAGGCAAATATTTCAAAGAAGGCGCTGAACCCTGATTATTGCTTTTTTTACTTATATATTTGTTCTTTCATTTGAATTTTTAACTACTCTAAACAAGCAAAAAATACAGGCCATGAAGAGATGCATTTAATTATTTATTTTATTTATGCATTTATTCTTTCATTTATTATAGTTAATAGATCAAATTGCATTTCGACGATGCTTAGCGAAAAATGCAACTAAGATAAATAATAATTATTCTAAAGAGATGCATTTAATTATTGTTATTTTTATTTATGCATTCATTCTTTTTATTTATTATAGTTAATAGATCAAATCGCATTTTGATGATGCTTAACAAAAAATGCAAGCTAAGTTAAATGAAAATTATTATGAAGAGATGCATTTAATTATTGCTATTTTTATTTATGCATTCATTCTTTTTATTTATTACAGTTAATAGACTAAATCGTATTTCGACGACGCTTAGCAGTTAA